CTATGATTTTGATGATCCCCCATTGTAAGATCCCATATGTATATATATATGCATACATAGTATGTCAAGATACAATATTCTAGAAATGACGTGGAGCCCGTATTGATCATATCCAATAGGAACATCATCCTGCAGACCCTCTACAAGTGGGATTTGATGTTAATATGTAAGAATTGAGGTGTGTAAACTCCAAATAATTTTAGGTCTTTCGAAATACGATCATCATAAGGAGACCATAACCAGAAAAACAGGGGTACCAGCAAATCTTGCTGCTTTGAAATGCATGATATTTCCATAGCGATTTTTACCTGAGCATTTTCTCCCCAATGACTCCTAGTTGTTTTGCTTCCACCATTCAAAATAGATCCAACGGAACCGCTGCCTGACTCCTGGAACCTTGGAAGCTAGGCAAAGCTGGTCTCTTGCCACAAATGGGCATACTGATATCATATAAGATAATAAGATATATACAGTGTATATAGTATATATATATATACATATATATATATTCACCAGCTCTGAAAAATAGATGCAGGGTACCCTCTGATAAATTAACATAGGCCCTGAAAATAGCCTTGTTTTTAATGGAAACTAATCTTCCAACCCCTATTTGCCAGGGTCGTCATGTTAATTTACCAGAGGCTATCTAAGATAACTATGTATGACCTCAATATGTTAACCATACACATATATAACCATAGTTACCATAATAAATCATATATCATAAATTTTAACCATACATAAATTAACCATTGACCATGTCTTCAATATGCTCCAGGAGCTCTTCCCTTTGTCCACTCCAAGGCACGGTGAAGCGGTGAAGCAAGTCGAGCGAGTCGAGCGAGTCGAGTGTTGTGGTTGAATAGCAAGCTATGGAAACAAGCCATGTGAAACCTATGGTTGCATCAGAATCCACTTTTAAACATACAAAAAGCTATTGAAGCCATGGCCCAGTCGAAATAGTGGATTTACCCAGCTATAAAATAGTGGATCTTTCCGTGGTTTTTTATTTAGGTCAGTCTTAGGTGGATGCAAACTAATCCTGACTAGTCTTTTGGTATCAATGGGAATATCTACGTTCACCAGCAAAGAATTTTTCATTTTTTGCAGGATCTAAGATTGGCAATTTGTATACATATATATATATACACATGTTTTTATGCATGGTTTGCTATGTTACAAATTCACATCCTTGCGATGTATCTAGTCGTAACTCTCATTTATGAAGGACTGTTGGAAGTAACCCGCTGGTTGTTGGTGGAAACAAAAACCTCAGCAGAGACTACAGATTAAGACCCAAGGCAGAGGGAATAGCAATTTTCATAGTCCTATTCCCCAGACTTTCTTGGCAAAAAAAGGGGTCTACGGGAAAGAACATTGTATAAATATTTGGGTATATATTTATTATTTATTATACATCCATCCCCAATTTGTGGTTTACGTTTTTTTTTTCATCTACATCATTCATGATTCTTACCAGCAATGGTTGATACTTGATATACTTGGGCGTGATTGCTTCATTTGGAACATTTTTTTGGTGGCGACACTATTTTGGTGTTCTCCAGGGTATTCAGATCATGAAGTTTCCAACTAAATTCTCGCTATGGTGACCATTTGGTTATGGAGTGGTGTCCAAGTAAAATATGCCATATTACGTGGAAAAAAAACATCCTAAATAGGGGTCCATTTCATGTTTGAATACCAGTGTACCCTCTGGTTATGACTAACATAGCCATGGAAAATATGGAAAATGGCCCATTCATAGATGGTTTACCTATTAAAACTGGTGATGTTCCATGGCTATGTTAGTCATAACCAGATGGTAAATCAATAGGGTACCTCTATGTACTTGTGATTCTCAGCACATTGGGGCGCATCAAAATAGGGGCGTATCAACGCCAGTAAGGGGGCCCGGCTGCCCGGTGGCCCGGTTTCTCGGGGCCCGCATCCGACCATTTGTTTGTACCCAAACCAGTGGTACCAAGAAAAGCCTTGGATGATTCATCCCCAAAATCAATGGCCACTGGAACCGATTGATGATTGATTGGAGGTACATACCATATGTATATATATAGTCGGTGGTTTCAAACATGAATTGTATTTTCCATTTCATATATGGGATGTCATCCTTCCCATTGACGATGTTTCAAGATGTGGCTCAACCACCAACCCGATATATATCCATATATAAGTTGCATACCACTATACCCTCTGGTAATTTAACATAGCTATTGAAAATAGCCCAGTCGAAATAGTGAGTGTTCCCATGAAAAATAGTGGATCTTTCCATAGTTGTTTGTATGTTTACCAGAGGGTACCACTAAAATCTAGGTCAATCTTAGATGGATACAAACTAATCCTGACTAGTCTTTTGGTATCAATGGGAATATCTACGTTCACCAGCAAAGAATTTTTCATTTTTTGCAGGGCATCTAAGATTGGCAATGCTATGATGGACCTTTATGGTGGCTAAACCGTCTCGAGGCCGCCCCAGCCCCGTGACAACCGTGACAACCGTGACAAGCGGCGGCATCGATCGCTTCCGAGCGGTCCAACTCAGGAGGATTTTGCGAAGAAAAACACGGCCGGGTTGTTTTTTGTTTCTGCTGGTCCCAAAATAGCATGGCTATGGATTTATAGGGGATATAGGGATTTATTACGGATTTATAGAGGATTTATTAAGGATTTATAGGGGATTTATAGGGAGTTATAGGGATTTATAGAGGATTTCATCAAAAGCTATGGTTGATAGATTTGGTATAGGATATGGTTAATAGATAGCTATGGTATTTATAGGGATGTTTAGGGATTTATAAAGATTTATAGGGATTTATAGGGATTTATAGGGGAGATAATGAATAATACCCTCTGGTTATTTAACATAGCCATGGAAAATGGCCCTTAGAAATAGATTATTTTCCCAGCTTGAAACTTCCATTTATAAGGGATTTTCCATGGCTATGTCAAATAACCAGATGGTAACCATAGCCAATATTAACCATAGATACTAATATTGATTTCATAGATACATAAATATGTTCAACCATAGCTATCCTGAAAAATAAATGATGTCATTGTCATCAATATTAACCATAGATACGAATAATGGCTAACCATATGGCTATTCATCATAATACGATATGTTTATTCATATCCATTATTCAAAATACAATATTAGCCAGTATTAAACAGTATTAACCAACAAATAGTGGATGTGAATGGGATATTGACTGCTTGGCGACTTGAAATCCATACTACATCCTTATGTTTGCCCCTGGAAACGGGATGACAATCCACAAGAGTAATATGTTTCATGGGGTTGAAACTGCCAACCAGTGTGGTTTTGGACGTTTTAAGACCAGTCAATCCCGACCAAGCAAAGATGAGGACACTGCAAAAGCCCAAGCAACATGTAGGGGTTTCCTAAAATCCAGGTACCCAAAAATAGATAGTTTATACTGGAAAATCCTACGAAAATGGATGATAGCTAGGGGTAACCCTCTTTTTGGAAACCTCCATGTAGGATCATGTAGGATCATGTAGGCTCGTAGGGTTGGTCCTGTGTCAGTTGAACCCCCTGCCGAACTGCAAAAAGCAAAAATGGCTGCCATTAGTTGTGTCCTGCCGCTGATGCGCTGTACAGGTTAGGCTTGGAGAGATCGTAAAAATTAAATATGACTATGTAAGGGAGATTCAAGGCCAGCTATGCATGGAGCAACTCGAACCTATTTGTAAGCATGCTATGGGAAAAAAACCTGCACCAGTTGAGAAATGGTAAACATCCTATTATTTATAGGGGTTCAACATGTTTCAACGATCCTTTTGATGTTTTTTTGATTTCGCAAACATCCACAGTATGAACCATTTTGTTGGACCATGACTGTTGTGACTGCGGCCGTTTTTGGTTGATTCGGAGTCCCTTTTTTTGCTGAAGCTTTCAGGTGCCGAGACGTATCCCCACAGCTATACCAAGGCAGCACTTAACAGTTGTAACTGCCTCAGAAAACATCATTGAAGTATTGAAGTGATAAAAAACACCACAGGTTGCAGGAGTTACTTGCAGGTTTCCTAAAATGGGGGTACCCCGAAATCATCAATTTTCGTAGGATTTTCCATTATAATTCATCCATTTTGGGGTACCCCATGTATGGAAACTCCCATTTCATCCCATAGCCCATTTGTGTTGAGGGTCAAAAAAACTTTAACTTTCCCGTGGATTTTTTTTCGGTCCCAATTCCCAGGAGGGAAAATGGGCCACTGCAGTGCAGAAGTTCCGTAGTGATGGACACGAGATCAAGGCCAATTGGTCCGAGACGCTTGAGGTTGGTTGATGGTCTTGGATCCGTTGGAGACATGAAAAACCTTGTGTTTTGGAGTTGGAATATGGGGGCTTCCAAAAAATATGGGTACCCACAAATCATTAATTTTTGTTTGGGGTTTTCCATCCATTTGGCTATTTATGGAAACCCCATATATCTTTTCTATGTTGAATATGGGCGATCCCCAATTGACAAAGAGTTTTCAAGGGCCAGTTGATCAGTGGCTATCAGGGTTGTTCCAACTTTTTTCTTGGTAAATGAATGTAAATGATAGCCGCAAGGGGTGAAAAAAAGTAAATCTTTAGCTCTTGAGTGTCCCAGCCAAATCTTTTGGGACAGTTCCAGCTCTTCGAGTTCTTCAGCACCATACAAGATGGAGCCTCTGAAAAATTTCTATGTTGGTGTATTTGCCTAGCTTAACGATGGCAGTGGTAGATATGTCTCTAGTGAACGGAATTTACACAGCAACTTACAACTGGTGGGCACTTGTGGTTCATTGTACTCAACGGTTGGGTGCCAAAACAACTAGATTTAATCAAGTCCATGTATAGAAATAATATAGCTAATAATAATCTGGTTGGTGGTTTGGAACAAGCCGTGGGCTCTACACCTACCAGCAGGTGCGGCCGTGCCCTGCTGATCGTAGAGCGTTTCGTTCACCGTGTTGTGCCATGGATCGTCATGGATCTTGCTGAAGTTGACGCTGGAGGTAGCTCTCTGATGTGGTCATGGTGGTCTTTGATCCTGTGCATGTGCGCCACTTGGTCCTCTGTCCGTGATGGGACTGGTCTGGTGCTTACTGGCCTCTTGGATGGAGCTCCTGAAGTGCTCACTCTGCTGGATGTTGTCCTGGTGCAGCAAGTCTCTATTCCGTTGCTGAAGGTGGATGATGGTACTAAGGTGTTGTTTCACTCACTGCATACCTGGGAGGACTTCTTCAAACTGGTCGATGCTTGCTGCGGGTTTGGTGGTCCTACACATGGGGCCCATGCCGTTGGTGTGCAAACCATGGTTGCTGTTGACTCTAGTGCCCGTATGGTGACCTTACACAAGGTTCATGGAGGATGTGAGTATGTGATCGGTGATGCTGGCTGTCCCCAGGTGATCGCTGGAGTGTGGTCCACGTGTAATCATGCTGCGGTGAAGAGTGTGGGATTTTCATGTCAGCCGTTTTCGCAGTTTGGTGATCGGAAAGGAGGGGCAGACCCTTGTGCTATGTCCCTTCCTAACAACCTCAGAGCTGCTCCGTCTCAGCGTGTTCATGGTTTGGTGCTTTCATGCGTTGTCCCTGCATGCAGAGATCCGTTCGTCTCACAACACCTTGATAGGTTTGTCGACTGGTCTGGATTTGTGAAGGAGAACATCATCCTTGAGCTCTCTGCTTTTGGTCAAGTACAACCGTTGATGCAGAACCAAACACAGATTGACGGGCAGTTTCTGGAGTTCACCCACCATCAGTCTCAACAAGTTTCGAATCTACAGGCCCTGATGCAGGCCCCGTCTCAACACTTTTACGGACAAAGTGAGACCCAGTATCAGTGCATCCAGGCTATGTTTGAGAATCAGCTTTCTCATATACGTGGCTTGTTGCGGAAGCGACTGAGAGATGATGGTGAATGTTGGGGTGGGCCTGAACTGCATGGCCCTCACAGTGGTATGATGATGATGGGGTCTTGTTGTGCCGTGTGGGTACTTGCTGCTCTGATGCCCTTCTACCAGTTTTTGGGGTTTGTGTCAACTGCCTTTTCCGTCGGGGCCGGCCCCTGTGTCTGGTCTTGGTTGTTTACGCTGTTGATCTTTTTCAATGTTTGTTGGCTTGGAGAGACATCGTCTCCAGGTCCGGTTCAGGCTTTGCTGCCGTCTTGACCGTAGAGTCGCCACAGTCAAAGCACTGTCTTCCCAACCCAAGACAGTGCGATACACAAAGCGGTACAAAGTGGTGGTTTGGAACATTTGGATTATTTTTCCATAGATTGGGAATGTCATCATCCCAAGTGACGAACTCATATTTTTCAGAGGGGTGGCTCAACCACCAACCAGTGATTCATGATATATGATCAATATGATGATT